AGAGTTTTCTGGAAGGGTGGCTCCTCTGGGAAAGCAATGAACCCAGCGTCCTGAGGGCGAGAGTGAACACTCGAGGGAAAGGAAACTTTCTTGATCTTGAATAGTGCTTAAATTACCCAAAGTGACGTCCTCGGCTTTTGTTTTTAGTTTTGAAGTCGCAGGAGAAAGATTATCTTAAAACTTTTAAAGTCAGCTCTGCTCATCTTGGAGACAAACTTTTTCTTCGTGTGTGTGTGTGTGTGTGTGTGTGTGTGTGTGTGTGCGCGCGCGCGCGCGCGCTCAAGAAGACAGGGTCAGTGACCCGGCTCCCTCTCTCAAATTCTTGTGCGGACTGGACTGCCGCCCTCAGCCCGCCCTAGCTTTCCTCCCCAGCCGGGCGCGTCCAGTCCCGGCGGGCCCTCCCGCCCCGGCCGGGCGCGTCCAGTCCCGGCGGGCCACTGCACGCTCGCGAACCGAAGGACTCCGCCGAGCAGTGCACATGCCGGGGCCGGGCCGAGCGGGGAACCGGTCGCTGCAGCCGGGTCTTCCGGGCGCCGGCCCAGCGAAGAGCGCTCCAAGGCTCTCGCTTTTCCAGTCTCTCCCCAAGAGCAAAGGCTAAGGTCTCTGCCCTGTGGACCCCTGGGAGTAAGCAATGCAGGAGTGTGACACCTTCCGGGTGCGGGCGGGCAAGGGCGGTCTTGTATTGTGGCGAGGTCAGAGGAAGCCAATAGTTTAGAGAGTTCTAGAACGTGAAGAGTAGAGCAGCACCTACCCGGAATGTACTTGGCCCTAGGGCTCCCAGGCTATTCTGTTCCCCCCTTTGCTCTGAAAATGTTTGTTCCTTAGGGATTGGGAGCAGGCCTATCACCGAGACCCGTTTTCTCCCCTTTCAAAATGGTATAGGGAACTGACCAGGATCTGCTTCCAACTCAGTGGTGTCTGCACCACCACCCCACACAATTGGGGGATCCCAGAGGGAGGGCAAAGACGTTGCTACCTCAAGAAATACGTTGCTAGTCGCCCCACTATCTGGCCAGAGCCTCCCACCTTCTCAACCTAAGTTTGATGCTGACGGAAAGGCGATGCCAGGGTGCCAGGACGGGCAACCTGATTAGTTCATGCTGAGAAAGAGCCACGTTTTCCTGCCTTTTCAGGGGTTTGTGCACACCTTGGCCCCGAGGTTCTGCTTGCACCAACGTCCACACCGTGGTCACGATTTAAACTGCAAAATAAGAACCCCCACTTCCCCTCCATGAGAATCTAGCAAAGCAGAAAATGGCCTGGTACATCCGGGACATTATGAAACTGTAGATTTCATTAGGTTGGTTGGGAACAGGAGCCACTAGCTGGGCTCCTGAATTTGGATCAAAACATGCCCACTCTTTCATCAAGGGCACCTGCCTTCTGAGGTTTTAGATACCCACATATCATGCAGTTGTGTATGCATGCTGAGAAAGAACCCAACGCACACGTCGTTTTTTTACCCGTTTACTGTTAGTATCTGCCAGTGGATTGAAAACACAGAGGAGAGCAGTGAGTAGATCCAGTCTAGTGAGGTTACATTTACTTGTAATCCTCCCCCTCCCTTTCCAATTTCTTTGATGATTTTTCCCATAAGTGTATAAGCTGCGGGGACTTAGAAGAAGGCCGCTCCTCCTAAATGTGATTCGGACCATATGCTTTCTACATTCATTCTCGCTCGGGCTTTTCTTCTCCGCACTAACTGCTAACACGTTATAGTCACCTTGAAATTTCCTCTGCTATTTTCCAATTAAAAGCTTAATAGCCCTGGAAACGGAGTTCATGTGGTGAAGTTTACCATAGGCCCTTGTTCTGAAAGGCTTTCTGCTGGGATCCCATTATGTGCTTGAATAAACCCTTTCTGCAAACAGAAATGGGACTCGGGGTTGTCAGGTGTTGGGTTACAATAGACTTTGAGGCAGGGGACATTTTACCAACATAAATACAAACCTGTCCCTATAGGGAGATGTTGTCAAATACTGGGATATGGAAAACATTCCCATCAAATATGAGAAAAGGATTACTGCGCTATATCAAATGAGTATTTAGATCTCAGTCCCCGATGTGCACTGGAGTGAAACGGGGCCCTGGGACCAAATAATGCTAGACTGAGTGACAACGGGATAAGG